TGATCAATGCCAGGTCTGTCAATGGAAAGACCGCTGCCATTCGGGACTTGATCCTGGATGAGAGGGCGGATCTGGCTTGCATCACCGAGACCTGGTTGGACGAGCCGGGGGGAGTAAATCTCACTCAGCTGTGCCCACCGGGTTTTGGAGTGCATCAGCAGGCCAGGCCAGGGGGGCGGGGAGGCGGGGTCGCAGTAGTCTATTGGCAATCCATCGCCGTGGTCAGATGCTCTGTTCCGCAATCACCTGGGTTCGAGTGTGTTCACCTGAGGGTGGGAAGCCGTGACAGCTTGGGGTTTCTGCTGGTGTACCGACCACCCCGCGACCCAACAGTTTCCCTGCCTGAGCTAGCAGAAGTGGTCTCCAATTCGGCCTTGGCGTCCCAGCGCCTGGTGGTGTTGGGAGATTTTAACGTCCATGCTGAGACCTCTTTGACTGGAGCAGCTCAGGACTTCATGGCCGCCATGACGACCATGGGGCTCTCACAAGTTATATCTGTACCCACCCATCAGGCAGGACATACACTTGACCTAGTTTTTGTGGCGGACAGTGAAATGATCAGAGTGGAAGAACAAAACATCCTTCCTTTGTCATGGTCTGATCATTATCTCATCAGCTTTAGATTTTCTGCGGCCCTTCACCTCCGCAGGGGTGGAGGACAAATTAAGATGGTCCGCCCCAGGATGGATTCCTGAGGAATCTTGGGGTTTTTACTGCCATGGAGCCTGGCGATCCTGTCGACGCCTTGGTTGATCTCTATAACAGGGAGATGTCCAGGGCGATAGATACGATCGCTCCCGAACGCCCCATCTCGTTGCGTCGAGACAGGCCATCTCCCTGGTTCACCGAGGAGTTGACTATGATGAAACACACGAGAAGGGGGCTAGAGCGCAAATGGAGGAAATCTCGAGACGTGTCTGATCAAGCACGGGCTAAAGCCTCTCTTAAGGCATATTCCGTGGCTATACAGGTAGCCAGGGAGTCTTTCACGACTACCCGTATAGCGTCTGCAGCAAACAGATCGTTGGAGATGTTTCGGGTTGTCGGGGAACTCCTTCACCCACCGGTGGTTGAAGAGACCTTCGATGACCAAGCAACTCGGTGTCGTGAGTTCGCACACTATTTTGCAGGCAAAGTTGCTCAGATACGTCTTGAGCTGGACTCCAATTTCACCACAGTTCCAGGGGAGGTGATTGAGGCATC